GATCTTGAACACAATTCGTTTTGTTTTGCCTAGCAAATTGCACGCATACCAAATATATTCTTTCGTGCTCATTTCTCATTCATCTTTCGTGCTCACTGTGCAATGAAATGTTTCCGAAATTACCTGATATTATTCACTCAGTACTTGCATCTACTCCTGTTGTTATGATAAATAACTACAAGAGCAATTTTATACGAAAAGATTTCCATAGAAAACCACAACAACATCATATACATATAAACTCGTGAAACAATCAGAAACCGATCGATCGACTTTCAAAACATTTATGAAAAATCCTTTCAGCAAAACAAGATGATCATGACTCTACCTAACTGAATTAATGGCCACTTTGCGAACATAACAAAAAAAAGACGAAATAAAACCAAACGAAAACAAAAACAGCCAACAGCTATCAAATCAACAAATCAATTCGTTTGCCTATCAAAAGAGTACAAGCCAGCAAATGAAACAATTAAAACTGCTTATTATTTACACCGAATACACTCATTTTCTATGGATTAATGACGTGCAACCGTGAATGACACTGTACTCATCAACTGAACACTATCTGCATTAATCCGAATAATTCAATCAGACGAGTGTGCAAACCAGTCTATCAATCAACCACTTACACTCCCATCAACATTGCAAACAAGCAATAAAAAGTTCACTAGCACTTGAAAGTTCCTTGTTCAAGTGAACGTTTTTTGTACTTGATGAATGAGTCGCAACTTTAACAAGAATAATTCAGATTGCTTAGCGAAAGATCTCTCGAATGACAATAACCAAATAAGAAAATAATCAAAAAACAAAATCATACGAATGGTCAATCCATTGTTGGTCCATCAGCAATAATAACAAAACAATGGCAGTCGTCAGTTTGTTCTGCACTCGAGGATGCTGACGAGAACAAAGATTGATGAGGCAGACGGCGGCGATCATTCAAAGAGGAGACCAACACAACGAGTATGCAATACAATGTGAAATTAGAACATTATTTTTCAAACGTTTGAAACAACAAACAATAAATCAACTTTGCAACGAACAAATACGAATTACACTTAAGAAATGTGGCAATTCATTTAGGTCATAAAATTGCACGATTTCACATCAAATGCGCCTCTGATTGGTTTCCTTTTGTACACATATAAACACAACAATAACACAACAACAATAACAACAAGCAACATTCCATGAAAAATATAAAAATTACAACGAAATTTCACAAATATATCCAAAAAACCGGAAATAAAGAAAAGTCAGCAAAGTGCGTTTCAGCAATGAGGAAAGCAAAAATCCCAATCACCAAGAAATAACCGAAGAAAATGAAACGATAGCAAACTGAGAGATCATAAAGTAATATCTCTGAAGTTGCAGAGGTATAAAGATGAGTGGATTGAATATAGATGAATTGTGAATGCGATAGTTTGAAGTCGTTAATATGCTTTAACTTGAAAAAAGCACACCAGTCAAATTCAGTGAAATTTATGGATGCCAAAGTTGTGCGAATTTCTGTCGCCATTGATATTCGGTAAGATTCTGATCGGTCATTTTGCTTTCTCTCAATCGAAATAACAACATCACCACATAAAAGTTACATTCAATTCAACAAATGCCTTACGAAACAAAACGCCATTTCAGTGACAAAATGTTTGCGTGATAAACTTCTAAAATACCCACGACAACCGAACGATTGAACAACGAATGGCGAATCGAAATGAGTGAAGTCAGTGGGTTTATCAGTTGATGGATTAATTGTTCATTAAGTATGGCTAGCGAATCAACTATTCTTTTGACGAACGCAACTGAATGAATATTATCCGCAATCATCATTTAGAACTAATACATAAAATAATATTACTTTCATGATTAACAAATGATCGGCAAGGGTACATGAATTTGGTTAAAAATAACACTCATATGGTTTTCATTCTGATAAGCAATATGCAAAAAAAACTTTTTAGAATCCAGAACGACGGTCTTATTTGGAACAAGGTATTACCTATCACGGAATGACGATTTCGTGAGAAGCGGCAAATCGCCATCTTTTAACTAAATCTAAAAGAAATTACGAGTACAACTTGAACAAGCACTAATACGACATTAACATTACTTTGGATTTTTGAGTTTTGAACGAATCAAGATTATTGATTCCTTCGTTGAATTGTTTGTTCTGAATTCCATCAAAGTTGTTCAGCTAACAAAAGAAATACGATGTGAAACGTTACGATGAAATCATGACAAATGTACGACGAATCAAAAAAGTGAACGACCAATCAAAAACAGAGGTAATATGAACAAATCCATGACAACAATAATAATAACACTAATACTCCGCCAATGACTCTCTCTCCCGCTATTTCACCTGTTTCTTTTATCCAAACCCGCTTGAATCATCCGAACTTTCAACACACACACAAAAAATAAGCAAAACAAAAAAGATGCGAAACCAAATATCCCAAAAATAAACATCTCAAAATATTGAACAAATTCCCGTGTAAACACCTCTCCCAAATGGAATATTAAACGCAGTATGCATCCTCCTAAATTCTCCTCAAACATGAATCCGGGCTAACAGAAAACGATCAAACAGACACGATCGATATCAATTAGTGATAATTATCGGTCGATAGCGCACTCAGTCTGACACATACACAAATACTCAGCGGTTAAGATTGTCAGACCGCAATTTCAGCGCACACAAGAGCGATTGTTTAGCGAGAAAGACTCGACGTGTCCTCAATGTTGCAAAAGACAACGAAGGCAGTGAGCAGCACGGTGCACAAGAGCACCCTCCTTTTTTAAGAAAACCCCAAAAAAACACAAAATAACTTCGACGAAAATATAAAACTCGTTCAATTGATCGAGTAATGCACAAATCGCATTAAAGAGCACAAATTTCATCGAAAAAATCAGCGCATTTTGTTTCATTTCATTTAATCCACTGCATGTATTGAGTTGTTGAATATACTCAAAAAAAGAAAAACTGAAGTCAATTAGCCATTAGATTGCATTTGGAAATAATCCATTCTTTCTTCTGTTACTACTCAAAGATACGACCGTTCAGTTCAGTTGATTGCTTTCATTCGAGAGAGAGAGAGACAATAGACGGTTATGATGGATGGCATTGCGAATGGAATACGTTGATGATCTATGAGAATGGGCGAATCAATTTCGAAATAACACGGATTGTCATAGAAAAGTGACGATGATGGTGATAAATTGAATGATTCTAAATGTGATTGATTGCAGATAGTTGTTGGAAAATAATGTGAAAGTGTTTTAATGAGACAGCAATTGTGAAACATCGCATGCCTGAGTTTGTTTGATAGTGTCCGTGCTGGATAGTATCGCTGACTTTGAATCATGACTCTTGGCCAGCGACGAGTCAACAACATTCACGTTCAGGTTTTGCGATAATACTCCACTTTTCAATTGCTGCAAATTTTGCAAATATTTACGACGGCAAAAAAAAACAAAACGCTATTCTCTAACAAACGCTGTGACGGTAGGAAACATTGTGACTCATTAATCTCTATATCAATGTCAGGAGAAGAACACGTGCGNTAAATAATATTGTAAAGGGAAATATGAAAAGAAATAAATGAAATGGATGGATCAAAAACGTTATAGAAAACAAAAAAAGGCAAATAATTGTCTTACAGCATCTGATTTCTCTGAGGGATTGTTGACAACATTCTTGGTTTTCAGCAATTTCGAGCTATTATCATCTTTGGGTCGAACCGATACGGGCGATGAGTCACGATGAGATGCACTCGACAACGACGATTTCGAACGTTCACTCGCTGATATTTTCGGTGTTTTTGTTATGGTGGTGGTGGTGGTGGATGTTTTAGCGGAGTCATTTGCAGTTGACGGATGGTGATTATTCGCATTGGTTAAGTCAATTGTTGTCGACACATCGGATGGTGGAACACTTTTGATCTCAGTTGTTTTGGACGCTGAGAGGGTGGCAGTGGATGCGTTTGGCTCAGGTGCAGTTTTTGGGGATTTTTCGGAATGTCCGGACTTTTTTGAATCGGGACACAACGATGAGTTGGTGGTACGAGATGAACTTGATGGAGTTGATGGTTCACTGAAAATGTTCTCTGCGTAAGGATTGCTCGTAGCGTCATTCATTTGCTCGAAGAGCGTATATCATATTGATGAAAGTATTAATGCGTTTTGCGACAAAATTACACAAACCTTTTTTTCTTGGTATCCGTCGGCGGTTTCATTCTCAAAAGTGCGATCGTTCGAGGACAGCTCTTGAGCTGTGCACGTTCGGGTGCCAATCGAACGCTCTCGTTGATGATATTCTCGAACGTGACACGATTCTTGAAAGACGGTAGCACGTTGAAGAACAGATACTGCGCAACTGTTGAATAGACCTCGTCCTTGCTGGGACACTGCGCTTCCAAATTGAAGAATAACACACTGATCAACTGTTTCAGTGCGGATCGCACTCTTTCGATCCATCTGAAACGTTTCTGCGGAACGCCACCTGAACTGGCGCGTTCAGCGCGCTTCCTTTCGATTTCATACTCATTGTCCGAATAGGATATGGCCACTGCGATCGCAGCATGAAGAGCGTCGACAGCCTTTTTGATCATCAGCAACGCCTGCGCTACCTTTTCGTTGCTGTTGCTCGCCAACACTGTTGTTGTTGGTATCGTGCTTTTGGGTTTTTCTGCTGGTGTCGTTAGTTTGCTCTGATGATCACTGGACGACGATTGAACCGATGAAGTGGATATCGTTGTTGAGGGCTTTGTCGAGACTGACTTCTGTGCAGTCGCGGCGGTCGTATTCGAATCAGCCGTACTCGTCGTATTAGAGCCATTATTTTTGGCGATCACTTTTTCCAGTTTGCTCGTATTACTTACCGCCAACAACGAGGCCATACGTTCGGCCATTGTAGTGGGAGGAGGAGGCGTTATGCGAGATGCGGATGGAACCGATGAGAGAGGCGTTGTCGGATGCGGAACGAGCGATGCCGAGGAGGTGGAGCACTTCTTTGGTTTTGAATTTAGACTTTTTGCGGGTGACGGGGATGTGATGACAGAAGAGGACGACGGAAGTGGCGTTTTCTTTTGAGATTTTGACTGTGAACTTTTTTGGGTGTGTTGTTGATGGTGTTTTGAGTGCGATTGTTGCTGAGGTGTTGTCGCTAAATTACTGATGGCCAGTTGGTATTGCGCGAGCAGATCGCTTTGCTGATTGGCTGCCAGAATTGCGGCAACGTTCATTTGGAGCGTTGCTAAATTTTGGTGTGGCTGTTTTGAGGGATCACTCGACAGAGCTCTTTGTTGGAGCATTGCCGATAATAATTGGAACAGTTGTGGATTCGTTGACGATAGCTGACTCATAGTTTTATTCAGCATATCTTGTTCAGTTGATAGAAGTTGTGGTGCTTGAGAGGGCTTCACTGCTGTTGCATTATTGCTCTGGTTTTGGCTGTTATTCGATAACAGTGGTGTCACTGATTTCGGATCAAATTTCAACGTGGACACCTGCAAATCGACTCACATGATTGAATATCAATCACACAAAATGCTATACTCTCAAAATTCGATCAAATAAGCCGTGAGTGAATGAATCACACTGACAATACAGTGAACGTGGACGTGCTTTTAGATTCTCATATCAAAACAAAAAAAAATGAAATGTAAAACAAACAATTGAGTGTACCTGTTTCGTTGTTGAATTCAATGCATCGCGACCCTTTGACGTGCTCAACACATTTTGTGATGGACTGCTTATGGATTGAACATTATTTGATAGCGATGTCTGTGGCGTTCGCATTTTTGTTAAATTGTTACTGTTACTTGCAGAAGTTGGCGTTGTTGGAAATGCATCCATGTTGTTGGGGTTCAATTTCGAGCTTTCATTAGTTGTTTTCGCATTGAGTCGTGAGAAAGAACTATTTGTCTCACTCAACTTATTACTATTATTAATAGCACCACTAGTGTGTATTCCCGACTGCTTCACTGAGGTAGTTGCATTCAGCTGAGAAAGGGCTGTGGTCGACTGACCTTCTGCTGTTAGGTCTTTGCATGGAGTGCCAACGACATCTTTACTTTTATAGTGAGTGTCAGGAGTTGATAGCTGTTCGTTGGTAGATGCGGTTCGTAGATGTGCCTCAAGATCGTCTTGTCCGGCACCATCAGATGACGAGGATGACGACGAAGACGATGAAGTTGTCCCAGCTTGTGGCGGCGACACGTCTGCAGTTCCCGTTGTGGATTCGTTTCCTGTTTCGACGGCTTTTTGCAACTGTAAATTTGATCGTTCGTTCCTTTTCACATATTCAATGAATAACATTCACAAATCAAAATCATGAAATTGCTAAAACAAGCGTATAGAACAATCGAAACAATTGAACAAATGCTGACACACCGAAAGTTTGCGATCCTTATACGCTTTCATACGAAAATACAACGAACTTCGTTGAACACAAACCCACTTCGATATCACATCAAAAACACGTGTTTTATTATGGTGATTTAGACCATCGATTGAGCACTGCTCCTCGATTCTGAAATGGTGCATTGCATTTCACTTTGCAGAGATGAATCAATCAAGAGAATGATGCCTCAAAAGATAAAACTAGCAACGCAACCAACCGAACACAAAGATCAACAAGACTTGGTGGAAGACGTATCTTCTTTTCGGGAGCACCATATTCTTTGGTTTTCTGCTTAAACGTCTCAACCAACAATGACAATTTCTTCGACATTTTTGGCTTACTTGGTTTGGACGCCTGAAATGGTTTTGATGCCTGAAATGTTCAAACAATGAGAATATATTCACGTTCATCAATTCCTTTTAGCCACGCAATTCAGTTGAATTAATTGCTGAACAGAGAACTTTATATAACGCTTTTGATCCCTCGTCAACAAAACGAAGCACAATTTTGAAAACATTCATCGTCTGAATAAATGTGCATTGAATCTCATCATTTTACGAACGCACACTGATATACTCACACAAAGAGAAGTCAATGAGACCGTTCCATAGGCGATGCAAACGTGCAAAAAATGAAAATTATTCAGTGAAGAGTGTGAAGCCATTAAAATAGAATAAATATCAACTGCACACAGCAATAATAAGCGTACAGGAGTAAGATTTGTAGAACCAGGTGGTCTGCCCAATGGTGGTCGTTTGATAGCGCTTGATGTTTGCTCAGATGACGCAGCTGATGGTTCAGACTGAGCACGGCTGTGCTGCTGACTGTCTCTATCTTCTTTCGATAAATCAATCGTTGGTGCATCGGACTCACGGTTAGAGGCGATCGAAGGAGATCGTGATCCCTTCAAAAAATAAACAGATCAATAAGAGGAAAGAAATATTTGTCGATAACGGATACAATCGATAATCCCACTCACTTCAGGTGTTTCGTGCAACAATTCTTTGGCCAGTTTGTTCATTCCTTCATCAAGATTCTCCAACGAAATATCCTCACCACCAGTCATATCCTTCAAAAATCCATCCAACTCTTCAGCCGAACTATCCCCCACTGCACCCTTCTTCGACTGTTGAGTTTTCAATCTATAACGAACACGATTAAAAACCAGATGCAAACTGCATATAGGTATATATACTCAAATGCTAAATAATACTTTTTGGTAGAACTAGGAGTGGGTTTGGATGATGGCGGTGTTGCTGATAAAGAGTTGTTGATTCTCGCAGACGGTGGTTGACCGATGAGACGTCTCTTTTTGATTTGCTGTTGTTGTTGTTGTGATAATAGACGACGAGATGCTGAATCTTTATTCGATGAGGACGGCGGTGCACCAGACGCAGATAGACGAACGGACTCTGAGGTTGGTTCGTTCGGCACAGACTCGCATCCAGATTCATTAGTTTTTCTGGATGGTAACGATGAGGAGGGTGTTGACGACAACATCTCAGCGATTGGCTTCGATGTTGATGCCTTTGGTACGGTTGCTGTGGGGTTGCTGCTGGCAGCTTGGCTCGATTTAGCATTCGTTTCTTCATCATCACTCGCCACACGACGACGCTAAAATTCAGAGGGAGGGATCAAAACATGCGACGGACAATTCATTGCTTTGTGTCAATTTTCGAAACAAAAAAAATACATTTCCACCAAAAAACATACAATAATAACGGAATGATATAAGAACAGAATAATCCTGATGAACTACTTTCAATACTGACGGAAAATCAATGAATTCAAGGACAACTATGGATGATTCCTTGAACATAATATTCTGAATAAGCAACGCTATCGATTAGAAATCGTGTGCATTACGACAAACAAAAAGCGTTCAACAATCACAAATGTGCGAGAATACACTCAAAAGAATCCTGATAATACAGTAAAATGTTTCAACAAAAAAAACCTTCTCAGCAGGCTTCTTCTTAACAGTCAACTGTTCACTATCACTGTCTGAATCTTGCGCATATTTGGGTCGGAATTCCAATTTTCCCTTATTAACGTAAAAGCCACCTTTCATCGTGTCCATCGTGGACGGCACATGCTCATCGTACTGAAACATGCTCTTAAACTGTAATACATAACACAACTAAGTATTATGAATAATAGAATTGCAATAATAATAATGTGAATGAATACCAATAATGGTACCATTGATCATGATAAATTGTCGTTTCTTAACTTCAAATCAATGTGCATTCGAGTCGAATTCTCACTGATCGTTCTTGAAGGAATGTGTTTTAATCAGAAGACGTCTTATTTTGCATTCATTTTAGAGTAAACATAGTCCGTCAATAATTCATTGACTAAATGGAAATTCAACTTCACAAACGAGCTGAATAATATGCAGGTGACTAAAAAATAAATAACGAACAGCCTCAGAGTCGTCAATGAAAGGATCGTTGAGGTCATATCCAGCTGATTTATCCATAAAATCGTCCGGTGTTCCGAGCCGAATTCGACGACCTCTTTTATCCTTTTGACCACCCTTTAAAAATAATTCTTCAGTGAACTTGAAATATTGACGAATTGGATGGATACAGGAAATTTTCAATTTTGCACGGACATTTCGCACAGATTGTGCACTTTTCAGTGGTTTAATTCTGATGTTTGGAGCGTAATCACTCAACGAAATTACCTACCACAAGCGAAAATTTAAAAAAAAAGTACAAAATGAATCAATCCATTACCAGAGTTGTTGCTTAATTTTTGACTACACATTCTTGTGCAACGGAAATAAATATTGAATAAGATGAAAACGCAGACAATATACGAATTAATTTCCTAATAACAGATAAAGCAACGAACATATTTTTCCTCCAGCCTCTTGCACAACATTTCCGCTTCTTTATCATGGAATCGTTCATCTTCACCACTTGATTCATCTTCCTTCTGAAATAAATCATCTATCAGATGGCATCAGCATTCAAGAAAACAGTGACGAAATGACGACGACTTAAAACACACAATAAAAATACGAAATCAAATACCCACAAATAAAACCAACCAAATATTCTTTACAGATCTGCTCGTAATCGAATTCTGGATATGACTTCTTCGTTGGTCTGAACAGATCGAGTGTCACTATGCTGTACTTCTTGTTTTTACGATGCTTCTTCTTCGAACCGGCCAAGTTTAAATTCATTTTTCATGCAACATAAATACTACTACCACATACAGCTAATAACTGAAATTTTAGTGAGTTCATAATTGGCCAGAAAGACAAGAGAGTGAGACGCGCACGGAGGAGGTGCTAGCGAGGAACATCAGAATTTAATGCTCGGAAATAATACGAGAACCTCGAATTCAGGAAAGTTGAGAAGTGAACGTAGTCCAGAAAAACCTCAAAACCAATAATGCTAACCAAAATTGTCGTCTAATCAATCGCTTCAAATGCTTTTAAACATCTACGTTGTTAACAACAGTAAATCTGCTTCCTTCCTCATTTTTCTCCTTAAAAATGCTCTCATCCACCCAGCTAATCGGACTTAATGCAACAGACACAATGTTCAATTCAACAAATCCACACTTCAAAAATCCCCTCTTCCATGAATGTGTTTTTATGTCCTTCTCAAAATCCACCGAATCCAGCAGCACAAGCAATATTTCTGTCCCGATACAACAATGCAGTCAGTCATTGATCGCCAAATCCTTCCCAATCTTCATCAAAACTCTCTGGTTGTCAGCATAAGTGAGCATTACAGAGAAATGAATAGAAGATTAGTTTTGTGCAGAGGATGAAATGCGAGCGAATCGGTCAATATAGGTACAGGT